TCCCATAACCTCTTGACAATCAGCCCTTTGTGGGCAAACCGTAGAGAAACCGTTTTAGGAAAATTGGTTTGAATTTAGGTTGTTGTTTGTGCTGGTTGATTGATAGTAACTGAGCCCGGAATTGAAGATTGGAGCACCAATTTCTAACATATTCCTTCATCCTCCTTTCAAAACTATTTCTTTGTCATCTATCCCCATGGAATCTCCCCGAATTCAAATGGAGAGTTATTATTGAGTTAATTAAATCATCAATCACCAACATTTGAATTCGGTTACTACTTGCTCACCCAAAAATAAATGGTTATCGAATGCTCACCCACTTTCGAAAAAAAATTACCCATCCATCACCCGTCCATCCAATTAGGCAGAAATCTCTACGTGGCAGATGTCAATCTTACGTGGCCACTAACATCGTTAAAAATTGACAAGTGAATATTAATTAAAACGATTTCTTCCCAAAATTTGAATGAATCATCATTTAAATTTGAATGAATTGTCATTTACTTTGGAAAGACAATGAAGAAAGTAAATGACGATTCATTCAAATTTTGGGAAGAAATCGTTTTAACTAATATTCACTTGTCAATTTTTAACAGTGTCAGTCGCCACATAAGATTTCCGTCTGCCACATAGAGATTTTTGCCTAGTTGGATTGACGAAAGTGAAACGGGTGATGGATGGGTAATTTTTTTCGAAAGTGGGTGAGCATTCGGTAACCATTTATTTCTAGTGAGCAAGTAGTAACCGAACCCAAATGTTGGTGATTGATGATTTAATTAACTCCCTGTTCGAATAAGTTGTTTAAGTAAGAGACAGTCAAATAACAGTACATTCTGGTAGAAGTTTGAACTGTTAAAAGACACGAGGGGAAACTTTCAGTTCTTTTGGATGATATTCAATCAGGAAAAATGTAAAAACAGCCCCTATATGTACAAGGCCGTAGTCCTGGAAATTGCATTTTACATCCTGGTTATGTGCTTATCTACTAAAACAACCTGTTAAGTCTCTGTCTAAGGAAGTTGGAAAATATTGCAAATATACTATTCTGAATGATCAAGAATGATAAAATCATTAAAATGACCTCAGGAGTTCAAAGGAACACATAATCTGCATTTTTGCAGAGACGCTTTAATAAAACCATCTGACAAATCAATAACACAGTTCTCACTTCTCAGTTCCTCTCTAACTTTGACACCAAAAACCCATTCCTATTTCCATGACAATTCCTCAATTTTCCTATTCTCACCACCCAACAATCCATTCTTGAAAACTCGTGGATATCCAGTCTTTAACTTCAACCCCTAAGGTTCTTCTTCTTCAAGCCCATCACATTCCAAAGAATGACCATGAGTGAATCATCAAATGCTTCCAAGCGGTTCAAGAACTAAGACTAAGATGCTCTACAGTAGAAATTTAAAGCCTTCACAATACCAATTTAAAATAGGTAAAAACGAGTGCCAGAAGCCTTTTGGCCAGCGTGTGGAGGAAATTGTGTTGGTGGTGCTTCTTGGTTTTTAGCAAGAGTTTAAATCCTAGGAATAACGGATTCTTGCATATGTTCAATTTGATGTGAAAGAAGGCTTTGCCATTGTATGTGGAAGCTGAAAAAGGCTAGTCTGTAATTAGTGAAATTTGAAGAGAACCTGATAAATAATTCAGAGTTAAAATGAAGATAGGTAAAATGAAGGGGGGAGAGGTTTGTGCATATAGTATGCGGGAAGATAGTGAGAGACAGCTAGGTATTTTGATTAGAAAGGAAAAGAAGTGATCTGGTCTTGCATGATGGAGGATCGTGTGCCTGGTTTATATCATGTGCATTTTAGTTATTTCGCAATTTCAGTCCAAGTTAATGAACAACTTTTAGTCACAGTATATAATGTAATTTATTATTTTTCAAAATATAGTACATGAAGTGAGTTTAGTAAACATCATTTTTCTCGACTTGAGTTCGGAAACATTGCTTTCCGAAATTTCAGCAATCCGAACGTGGAATTCAACTTTATCGTTTTTAGGTTGTTACTTTGCTCTTTGAACAGTGCAACCTTCATTTTTCTTGTGTTTTAAGTTACTTCAGCAGTTTGCAGGTGTCTTTCGAGATTGCTAATGACCAAATTTGATGACAAGATTGGTTCTTTTAGGATTAAGTACCGAGTCAAGGAGAAAACATTTTCATTCCGATGCTATAATCTATCTTATTCTTAAGAATTAGTGTTTCCAACTCCAACAAAAGGTTCACCTATAATTTTTACATTCTCTATTTCGATGTTGTATTCATTTCTGGAACTGTGCTTGCAGGAACTGGAGGTGTTGCCAAGTAGTATCACCACCAGAGCAGAAGTACCGTCGAACAAGCTCAGCCCCAATATGAGGACTATGTAGATTATGTCAATTTACTGTTCATTTGTTGTTGTTGGTTTCTCTTTACTGTTTACTTGGGGTACCGTCCTTGCCCATACGACAGCCTCTGGATATTAACTTCCTGATTCCTATTTTGCTGTAACATCCCTCGGCTGTCCTACCCCATTTTGTTGAACCTTTTTTCTTATATGTAGATTATGTAGTTCTAATTTTGAACTTATGAAACTAATTTTGGCATTTAGACATTTATAATCAAGTTTGATGTCTTCAGTTAAAACACCTTGTTTTCGACCTTTGTTTCTTCAAAACTGTTCATAGTCAGAGACAACAATAATCATCTTATGCGACATCTTTTATGGCATACTTCTAGTACATTTAAAAAATGAAATTTTTTTAATAATACTATGCATGTAAGATAACAGGTATGATGATTATAACAGTAGTTGACTATGAATAATAATATTGTTTCTACGGATATTTTTAACGTTCCATTTTGAAGTGACAATAGTCCTTTTATACTGCTTTTAAAAAACATAAAAATAAATAAATTAAGTCTGCACATATAGTTACAAATTTTCCTTCGAACTTAAAAAGCTCTAGTAAAAATAGAGCAAATAGATGAATACTTGAAGATTGGGACTAAAATACCAATAAGCAAAATTCTGGGGATAGAAGTGTAAAAATAATAAGGGCAAGGAAATGTAGTTCATTTTTATAAAAATTGTTCAATATTTCTTTAGCTTTAAATTAAATAATGTGTTGGACGTTTTTAAAACAAAAATATTTGAAACGTGTTCATTAACTGACAACGTTTTTATTTTTAATTTTAATATTTAAACTGTATCACCAAAAAGATTAACATTTCTTCTAAAGATGTCAAGACGGACGGGTCGGGCCGGTCACATCCATGAAAACCGACCCGTGACCTGGTCGACCCAAGCGAGCGGTTCACGGGTCAAGGAGGTGTGACCCGCAGACTTCGCAGGTTAACCCGTTGGCCCGTGAAATTTTTTTTTTTTTAAATTTGAAAAAAAGGGAGGGCTCTCTCCCCAGCTAGCTTGTTGCAGTCTCAACAGTGGCATTCGAGATTGCTTTTAGTGCAGGTAACAGTGTACTAGACAAAAGAAGATCTAGACTTGAAGAAAATATTTTGGAAGCTCTCATATGCGTGAAAGATTGAATATTTGCGGATCGAATGATGCAAGATAAAATTATTGATAATATTGCTGAAGATTTCAAAAATCTTGCAATTCCTAAAGATTGATTAGAAAACAAATATTAAAATATATAATTTTTTAACAACTAAATTATAGTTAAGACTTAAGACTTAAATAGATGCCAACCTATTTGGGATGTACTTAAACTATAAATTATAATAAAATTAAGTGCCAACCTAGTTAGGATGTACTTATGATATAAATATTTGATCATAGTAATTAGAAATACATTTAGCCGTTATTTGTTTAAGTTAAATTTAACTTTAGCCGTTATTTTATTTATACAATAATACGGGCCAAATCGGAACAAATCACGACCCGCACGACCCGTTACGTGCATGGGCATGACCCTGATGGGTNTTGGTATAAATATGAATTTATCATTTTGTTCAATTCTTAGTTTACATTAAACAAAAAAATTATTTTTTTCTATAAATATGAAAAATTCTATATTTTTATTTTATTTATACAATAATATGGGCCAAATTGGAGCAAACCGCGACCCGCTCGACCAATTACCCGCATGGACTCGACCCGGATGGATCAGCGGACGAGCCTGGGTTGTAATCCAAAATTTGTGGGCCGACCCGAAACCCATAGAGGACAGGCTTTTTTTCACTCGGACCGTTACCGAGCTCATATGTTGGCGGGCCGACCCGACCTGGACCACCCGGATTGATATCTCTAATCTCTTCTATTTACATTCGGGTTCAAGAAGACGAAAGTTACCTTACGAAGGTCTGCTGCTCTAAAAAGAGCCCCAGGATCCATAAATCAAACACGGTACATGTGAAATCAACATAAATGATGCGCATTCTCAAGAAATAGTATCCCAACCCAATGTTTACCAAAGTAAGTAGACAAAAAAGACGGTTAATTATAAAAATATGACAAAAACAATATGCTTGATATATACTCTTTTCTAGATCAACATGACACTGCATCCCTAAACAATGTCAGAGCACGCAAATATGAAACTCGCAGTAACTTTACAATGGAAAAGTTGAAGGATCAAATTTGTTGAAGACTATTGCATTGACTCCAAACTTTCATGGTTCGTACAATCTCTAGTACAAAGACATTAAGTTGAGAATTCTAATTCTCCGTAATCATACATGCTTGTTATGGACAAAAACATGATCAAGGCAAGCATGAAGCAAGTATTCAGATGCAAATATAAGCATCCTTGCAAAAGTGTCGAGGTCATATTTACCAGGAAAAGAACGAAAGTTTAGATGTTTACATGCTTGTTATGGACAAAAACATGATCAAGGCAAGCAAGAAGCAAGTATTCAGATGCAAATATAAGCATCCTTGCAAAAGTGGCGAAGTAATTTTACAGGAAAAGAACGAAAGTTTAGATGATGGATCTTAAAGTTCTGTAAGAGTACACAATGGAATACTGCAAGTTACTACCAGATTTGTTTAGCGGAAAAGCCTTGGCATGGATCTTTTTGGAATCTTGCCTTCAAGTTTTAGTCTTCTATATGCTTCTCTCATGTGGCACGGCCTGATTGGCCCCGACTCTTTTCTCTCTGCCATCACTATTCTGGCTGCAAAATTGTAGAGCTTCATTACAGTTCATATTGTTGTATTTTTTATTTCAGGGTATGACCCACAGTACACATTAAGTTTTCAGTTCACAATTAGCAAGAGAAACTCTCAATTCTAAAAATGAATAGAGAATACATTTTTAAGCTTATAACAACTACCAAATACTGAATCGGCATACCAGTTTCAACAAGCTCCCCGACGAACATTTTTGCTATTCCGGATACCACGATTGTCATAGGCATAGAAATTTTGGCACTTCCAGTTATGCTTGTCAATAACTGCAATTAGAACACAGTAAAAGATTGCAACAGTGGCCGTTGTCAAAAATGTTCATTAAACAATTTTGCTACTTCATGCAATACAAGTTGGAGAAAGAGGAGTTGGAGAAAGAGGAGCGGGGGACTGCTGAACATAGAGCACAAGAATGAGGTGATGCCTACCCGCTTCATGTTTGATTTCTGAAATCCAGATCTTCGAAATGATTCATACCTACTCATCTGTTTCTCCGTAAATTGAGACAGAATAGTCCTGACGAAAGAAATGAGTTCTAATGAACTTTAAAATGAACAAAAAAAGAAACATAAATTTTAAAATGAACTAAATAAGTGAAGGTCAATATATATATATTTACGAGATAAAACCTGTAAACCTTCACATTTGTGATTCATCAGACTAATCACTAACAGGAACACAAACATATCTTGAATATAGATTGACTCGTTTATAAAAGTTCCATTTCTTTGTTCTTCATTTTGTTTTGATTCTCTCTTCAATTAGATAAAACACCAATGAGGTCACTGTTACAATTCTTGTTATTTTGAGAACTGACGCAATGTCATTCGATTCTTAATGAAATTTCAGAGACCAAGAAATCAATGATATCATGACATCAGTTTGATACTGACATTACGTATGCGAAATAACAATCCATCCAGAAAGAATTGTGAAAAATGAAATGAATCAGTTAACTCACTGCATAATGGCCGTTTTATCAGGATCGCTACTAGAAGGTAACTTTCCAAGCTCAACATCCATGTTGTCTTCTTCTTCTTCCTCATCTTCTTCTTTGGACTTTCCAGTAGGACCAGCAGTCCTAACGGGGTTTGAAGCAGTTGCAGATGTTGAAGGATCTGTAGGACGAAGATTATTACTGATGTCATCATCACCCCCAAAATCTAGAGTGAGGGCACCTGGAGTTTGTGCTTCATTCTCATCAGGGCCAGTGGGTGATTCAGAGGGTGATTCATCTTGCTCCACAAATGCAATTTCAAAAGGATCCTTGGATTTCTTCATTTGGAATTCTACCAACCAATGTCATCAATAGAAAATTATTCAAATCAAGAAGTGAAAGCATATATTTTGTAAAAGAGTGACACTGATAGGTACAATTCAGGTAAAATAGAGGGTATGATACACAAATTTCAATTATATTCTACTATGATAAGATTCATTTACTCCCTAGTATTATACTAACATCACTTGACGTCTATTTTAGAAGAGAGAGAGGTCTGTTTGCCCCATAGAGACAGAGTTTATCTGGTAATTAAAGTAACTGCTAAGTTCCTTCAAGATATGAAAGGAGCAGCTGGAAACGGCTGTCTCTATTTTATTTTAGATGGAGTCAGGTCTAAGAATCTTAGCAATGATCGTATTAAGAAAATTAAAGGATAGAACGTGTTGTAAATAGCAGGGAAGAAGAAGAATATTTCATTCATTCAACTTGAGAAATTACAATGCATACTAATCTATTTATACAGAAAAATAGCTAACTAATCTATCAACTAATCACTACATGGAAATCTCTAGAATTGAAGGGCGGGACTAAATTCTAACAAACCAACAACTAATAACAAACTAAAGAAGAAACTAGAAGGAGTTAGAATGAGCTGAACGTGAGCTGAGGTTGTGTGATCTGCTGTGCTGCTGAACGTGCTTATATTCTAACACTCCCCCCTCAAGATGGAACGTCTTGAACTTGGAAAGGAAAACAGAGATGCAAGGATTGGAAGAAGATATCTGCAGAGTATGTGATGTAATAAAGAGGAGAACTCCAAGAACTAGATCCATCAAATTATTAATTCTGGTTGAATCTGATGAAATGTTGAGCCGTGACTGTTAGGAGCACCACTCCAGTTTCCTCCAACAACAATACCAAGAAGTGCCAGGGGGAAAAAAATATTTTGTCAAGAAATTCCCAAAGGTACGGGAAGAAACGATGATGCACAGATATGAAATCAGAAATGATGATGACACATTTTGCAACCCATTTTCTTGACCGCATCAAGCAACTGAGAAAAGCATAATCTGTGCACAGACCTAGGGGCGAATCTAGAACTTTTGTTCAGCTAGGGCGGAGTCACGGTGCCGTTGACCCGTGACATTTGACCGAAATCGTTATAGCCGAAAATATAATTCGATACATATTTAAATGCACTAAAACATAAAAAGTATATACATATGAAAATATATTTCAGTTCTATAATTTGATGTCTAACATCCATCTAGGGTCATCAAAGATTATTTACAATTAGATAATGTAAACTACAAAGTTCCATGTCATTTTCTTAAATTCTGTGTATTTTAGTTCTTAACATACTGCCAGAAAGTAAACAAAGTCCAAGATAACATGAGATTGCTAACTGCCTCCTACAAAGAAAAAGATGAAAATGCGATAAAAGTAAAAAATGCAAGCTAAATATAAGCAAGTTTCCTCCATTCCCTTACGAGCTTTGCAACTGACTGAAAGTAAATGATTGTTTGTTTCAGAAAAAAAGATTCTTAAAATAATTTGTAAACAATCCAAGATTTTTGAGGTAAATAGGTAGGTAAAAGATTCTTACCTTTGATTTCGAAGCTCCAGCCGGCAGTCCACCAACCTCCGACCACAATCACAGTCAATGGGTAATTGTCAACCTTCGATGTCGCCCTAATCGTCAGTCGTCTACTCTCTCCCTCTCTCTGCCGGACAAACAATGGGTAAATAGTAATTGAATTGCGCTCAATTGGTTTTTTTTGTGGGCTAATCACTTATTGGGCCTTTTTTTTAAATAAGGCCCAAAAAAATTAAAACATAAGAATAAGCAGGCGCAGCTCCTCCTTCCCTGGCGGACGGCTACTCACCGCCTCACCGGCGAGAACTTGCAGCTTCCGGGGGACCCAGAACGGGCGGCAACGGAGGATGGCCGGTTCTGGGTCCGCCCCTGCACAAACCACTTACGAGTTTCGACGAAGTTATCATGTTCTTCTTGTAAACCAATTTACAATCCTATCCGACTTTGGAACTGAATTGAATTGCATTAATGATGAAGAAAAACGGATTGTCAATAACTGAATTTATTTGACAAATCTCACTTTAACAAGAGGGAAATGGAACTGGAATAAATTCCATGAAAAACTCCACAAAAGGAGGACAAAGACAATGGAAATCTGAATAACTTCCATGAAAACACTCGACAATGACGGAATTGCTCATTGAAGAGGATGAATCGATATGGTTTTGCATATCTACAGCAACTTACAAATTCCAGTAGAAAGCTGGAAAGAAACAGAATCAGTTATGTGATTCATCACCCGAAAAGACAATTCTGTGAAACAACGAAGTGATGCTCCGGTCACAGCTGTTGCAAGTGCTGAACTGATAAATCATCAATGGCGGAATTGCCAACTGAAGAAAAAAAAAGGCAAAAAGAGTTGTAGACGGAAGGAGCATTGCTCTGATATCATATTAAGAAAATAAAAGGATAGAACCTGCTGTAAATAGCAAGGAAGAAGAAGAATATTTCATTCATTCAACTTGAGAAATTACAATGCATACTAATCTATTTATAAAGAAAAAAAGCTAACTAATCTATCAACTAATCACTACATGGAAGTCTATAGAATTGAAGGGCTGGACTAAATTCTAACAAACCAACAACTAATAACAAACTAAAAAGAAACTAGAATGAGCTAGAATGAGCTGAACGTGAGCTGAGGTCGTGTGATCTGATGTGTTGCTGAACATGCTTATATTCCAACAGATCGAGCATCAGAAGGAATCCAGACTGTAATACCCAAGACTTAAGAGGTTATGAGCAGGCTCGACATTCACAGTTCTGTGAGCTCCCCCAGAAGATGCAGCAACCTCCATTTATGTGGCTTGACTATTTGGAATTAGAAAAAAACTTCTACACCTAGGCCGCGTTAATTTGGTTTATCAAAAGTAATATCCTAGTGGAAATTGAAAATTTCAACAATAGCATATGCAAATGTCAACATTTCTCATGCACAGCAATTTCTATGCAATAGCATTCCAGGTCATCCAATCTGAACCAAGGGTAGTTGTGACAGCTCAATTCAGCAATGACCGTCCAATAGTCATATTGCCTTATTTAGGGCACAAGTTTAGACCTCTAGGCACTTTGAGGCGTAGACACCTCAACACAAACAATTTCCTCAACAGTAATTGAGAAATAATTAAAGAAGATTCTTAATAAAAAGGTAGCATTTTCTTATATATTGCAGCAGAAAAACCAGATCAACAAACAACATTAACATTGCATAAGCTTGTAGTAAAAAGAAAAGAGAACAGCCCTAATAGAAGAAAACAATTCAGGAAAAAAACGAGACGATAAAGGAAAAATGAAAAAGAAAACTGCAAAAGAAAAATTAAAAGAAAGATAGGAAGAGAGAAAACCTAGACCCAGATAAAAGGGACAAATGGAAAATTCAAGAAGCAGATGATAAAAAGATTAGACTATAGAAAATAAAAGGATAAGGGGAATTACCTGTACCCAATTTCCTGCTAGTGATCGCTCAGTCGCCGTTGGATTCGATGCCGAAGTCGAAATATTCGCCGGATAATGGGTCTCTCAAGTCTCAAGTTCCCGACGGCTGTTTTGAGTGGAAACAGGAATGTTTTACTGTTTGGTCATAATTGAAACCGGCTAACTATTAGCCCAATTTTAAGAAACAAGTAAACGAGGAAAATAACCCAAACATACCTTTATTAGGCCACAGAGATGCTTAACGAAGTAACCCAGTTAAGGTTATAGAATTTGGGATAACATCAAAAATATCGTACTTATCTTCAAAAATCATAAAAATATCCAATTTTTGTTATGAAATTAAAGGAACAAAAGAGAAATATAAAAGAAAAACGAGAGTCAAAACTCAAAATATGTATTTTATTGAGGAATAAGATCATGTACTTATAGTGTTCAAAATTAGAGTTACAATCAAAGTAGATAGCACTTATCGAAGTATCACGATAAGATTAAATAATCATCAAAACTCAAAATATGTATTTTATTGAGAACTAAGATCTTGTACTTATAGTGTTCAAAATGAGAGTTACAATCAAAGTAAATAGTACTTGTCGAAGTATCATGATAAGATCAAATAATCATCAACAATAAGATGAAATTTTTTTAATGTTGGCATGATGTTAATAGCATTGGAAAGCAATTTTTTTTCAATAATTCTGGTTTAGAAATTAGTTGAAAACGTTTAATAAACAATAATGTTAAACTATTTATCGTCATCTAGGGATGTAGATTTGGCTCGATAGCTTGAGTTGTTCACGGCTTGGCCTGAAAAAAGGTCAAACCGACTCGACTATCTGCTTGTTTCCATAGAGCCTCATTTTCGAGGCACGATCGGAGCTTGAGCCAACTCGGCCTATGGATCGGCTCGCTACTCATTTCTACCGAGCCTCATTTTCGAGGTACGGTATGAGCCGAAGTCAGCTCGGCCCGTGTGACAGGCCAAAATGGCTCATGACATTGGCCATTTTGGCTTGTGACGACAATTGTAGCTGCCTGCAAAAGCAAGCAACCTGCTTGCATGCAAGCAGGTTGGATAGGCAACACAAAGCTTCCTGTAGCCGACAAGGAGACGTAGGCAGCTACAACTACTTATTCCTACAACTGTAGCTACCTATTAATTTTTTTTTTTTTCAAATTTCATGACTAAGAAAAAGAGCATGCTCGGCTCGATAAGGCCTGAGCAAAAAGTCTGAGCCCAGCTTTAATTTTTTGATTGAGCTTTAACTCGGCTCCACTAACTGGCTCGGGTCAAAAAAGTTCGAGCCATTTTTTACCTGAGTCGCGACCTTCGGTTTGGTTCGATTACATCCATATTGTCATATGAACTAACACTTATTAAAATATTGAGATTTAGGGTCACTAAAATTAACAAGGCACACCGTATTGATTGAATAATCCGAAAATTATGTTCATAATTCAAAATTTCAAAATTAATTTCACAAATTCAGGTTGTGAATACCGTGAAATTATCTAAAGGATATATTATATCTATTAGATACAAATAGTGTCAAAATGATCAAGATGGAGGGTGATGAAACCCCATATATCGCCCTCATTAATTTCTAAGATTATAGAGATTTAGTCCAACCTTTACTTAGTGATGGTCAATGACCAATTTATGATATAGAAAACAAGCATTATATATGAATTCAATGGATTGAAGAATCTTCTAGTTCTTCAATACATGTTCATTTAAATTTTCATTCTACATCATTATTGATACATTGATGATATAATTGGATATGCAAGCAATAAAATGTTAAGAGTTAGTGGACTTTTGATTCAATGTAATGTTTTTATTTTAATTGTATTAATATTAGTATAATGTATCAATTTTAGCCCTCGTTTGCCCCCATTGTTTAGTATTACAATTTTTGAAATAGTGAATTTTGGAGAATGGGTGGTTGAATATTTTTTTTCTCGATTTAAGTGTAATATTATTTTATTGGAGGATATATGATTGAAAAGAAGAAAGAGAAAAATGTATTATACTTTTAATGAGGTCAAACGGTGGCTAAGAAAAACTATTTAAAACTTGTTAGTTGCTATTTTATTTTGCCCCTGTTCAGGGACCTTTACTTTTTGGGAAAAATGTTGTTTTAAATAATGATTTTTGGGAAAATGTATGGTTAAAAGTAGGAAAATGTTTGAATTTACTATAAAATATTTTATTGTGTGAATGTGTAGTTAAAAATGAATATGTAGAACAATGAATTTTGAAAAAGTGAGAGACGAGCAGAGGCTTAGTGAAGAACAAATTACTAGCAATAGTAAGTTTGTCTCTTCATAGCACACATATTGACTCTTTTGGAACATTGAATAAGGATTGTGCTTCTTTCAAATTAGCATAAATGTCTTTTTTAAAATTACGATTGATTCAATAAATTTTGCAATATTCTTTTTGAATATTTGAATATTTAAATTGTATTTCGTTCAATAACGGCTAATTATTTTTCTAATATATTAATTTAATGTAAAACTATGTTTCTTCTAAAGCAATAAATCAATATTTTTCTTTAATATTGAAATTTTAATATCATGCAATTCAGGAGTAGATAATATTCTTTTAGACTAATATAACATTCTGCCAATATAGTAAACATATCGATTAAATATGTACAACTCATATATTTTACGTTGTGATCAATTATAACGTTCAAATCGAATGTAGATGTTTAATATGCATAGTGTAATGATTATAGGCCCTGTTTGGAAGGGATTAAATTTTTCTACAGTAAATCAATTCTCATTTCAATCACACATTTTTCAATAAAATAATATTTTCCATCACTTCAATAATTTTTTCTTCTTTTTCTACCACACATTTCCCATCATATCACTATTCAAAATCAATTTTTCCCCCAAAATCTGATTCTCAAATCAATTCTTATTTTCAACCACACATTTTTCAGTAAAATAATATTTTCCATCACATCAATACTTTTTTCTTCTTTTTCAACCACACATTTCCCATCATATCACTATTCAAAATCAATTATTTCCCCAAAAATCTCTCCCAAACAAGCTCATAATCTATTTGTAACAATCAATTATGAAAACATGGCAAGTTATCAATGAAAATTGGATGTATGAGTGTACTATTATAACTATTTAATGAAATCGTACAATTTAGGTAAACTGGTCCAATATGCAATTTTTATACTAAAGTATCAATTCAAAAGAATTTATGATTTTGTAGATAGGAATTGATAGGTTCCGTTGACTTTGCTTTTTGTATGCACACGTGGACAATAGATACAAGCATACTCGTGTCTACGGAAGCTAATTCCGACACGCTTTGATGGATTATTTAGTAAGTTGAGAAAATACTTCGGCTTGGGCATGGGAAAAACTATATAAGCGAGACAAAAATGTTTGGATTCCCACAACATATATGAACTGCATAGCATAATAAGGAACATTCGACAATGTACAATTCCAAATCTAACACCAAACCAGGGTGACCTTTGTACAAGTTGAGGAACAAGCCTTGCTTGGTGGGTCGAGTGGGGGGTTTGTGGGCCATGAGTGAGGGTCATATTGATTACGATGAAGAATGTGGGGCTGCTATGATTGCTTCTGCTATGACCTTCGAGAAGTAAGCTGAAATTAGTAAAAAGTATAGAACCCTAATACAATAGAACTCCTCGTGCCCAAGGCCAACGAACGTGACTCTTATCCGAGATCGGGGATGTATGGTTGTCAGTGAATACCTATTCAAGGCAGGCATGCGTCTACCTCTACACCCATTTTTTAAGGAGGTGCTGAGGACTTACGTGTTGGCTCCAACCCAACTTCTACCAAATGAGTAGAGCCAGTTAGTTAGGGTTTACTTCCTTTGGAAGGAGACCTAGCTTCGTAAGGATGTCTCTGTACATCTTTCAAACACTTTTTCAACTCCATATACTTGGGAATAGGAGAGTCGAAATGGTAGTATTACATGATCGAGCCTATGCTCCTTTTGTAGTGGGTCTGCCCTCTTTTATGAAAGGGTAGAAGGTGACCTAGTTCTGGGTAAAGGGTAGATGGCAGATCGTAGAGGAAGATAAAGTCTCAGTTGCCACTGTGCCGACCCAGTATTTCGAAGAGCGTGAGCAGATTTCTTTCTAAATTCTCTTTTTTTCTAGACTGACGTTGTTTGTTTTACAATTTTAGGATACCGGTTCGAGTTGTCCTAGGCTGAATGGGATGTCATCGAAAACATATATAGATGCCCTTAGTGATCGCGCCACTTCGACAACTTCATCGAACGTAGCAAGTTCTTCTTAGACTTCAGATTAATGGCTTGATTACTCCCAAAGAATAATGCGGTAGTTGTAGTGCAGTTTTGGGGTGTCTATCCATAGGGAGATAGAAGAATATTTAAAGGATCAAAATGCTGAATTGTTCTCTCAAATGTGTAATAAAATTCAATATTGAAAGGTCAAATTAAAATTAATAATTTGAAACAGTGAAACATCATAATTCTCTCAATTAGATTGGATTAATCATATCAATTATTCATTTTTATAGTCATATTGCCTTATTTAGGGCGCAAGTTTAGACCTCTAGGCACTTTGAGGCGTAGACACCTCAACACAAACAATTTCCTCAACAGTAATTGAGAAATAATTAAAGACGATTCTTAATAAAAAGGTAGCATTTTCTTATATATTGCAGCAGAAAAACCAGATCAACAAACAACATTAACATTGCATAAGCTTGTAGTAAAAAGAAAAGAGAACAGCCCAAATAGAAGAAAACAATTCAGGAAAAAAACGAGACGATAAAGGAAAAATGAAAAAGAAAACTGCAAAAGAAAAATTAAAAGAAAGATAGGAAAAGAGAAAACCTAGACCCAGATAAAAGGGGACAAATGGAAAATTCAAGAAGCAGATGATAAAAGGATTAGACTATAGAAAATAAAAGGATAAAGGGAATTGCCTGTACCCAATTTCCTGCTAGTGATCGCTCAGTCGCCGTTGGATTCGATGCCGAAGTCGAAATATTCGCCGGATAATGGGTCTCTCAAGTCTCAAGTTCCCGACGGCGGTTTTGAGTGGAAACAGGAATATTTTACTGTTTGGTCATAATTGAAACCGCCTAACTATGAGTTAATTAAATCGATTGCCACTCAATTTCATCGTTGGTTACTACTTGCTCATCGAAGAAAAAAAGTTACCTATTGCTCACTCATTTATTCAAACATTTACCCGTCCATCACTCTTTCAAATCCGTCACCATAAATTGCCGAAAAACTCCACGCGTGTGGACGGAAAGTTGACGTGGCGCTTTCAGCTGTTAACTCTGTCGGTTGTAAAAAATTATATCAAAGCAAACTTGGGAAATGGAAGGTGGAGCTCAGCCAGCGGACACTGATATGTCGGAGGAGCAGTAGCAACAGCAATTGCAGTCGCTGATCGAGCACATCCCGACGGCGATGCTGAGCTACGGCGGTCGCTTCATCCAATACAATATCTTCGGCAACATCTTTGAGGTCACCGCAAAATACAAGCTGCAAATCGTTTCTGATGTGAACAATATATTTCATAAAAAAATCTGGAAAATTTAATTAATTTCTAATTTTTTCAATGCTGGAAAAATATTTGCCATCGGACCATTCGAGGTCGTCATCGCCAAAAGAAACAGAAGGAGAAGGTGTTCTGGATGTGAAATTGGGGGTGGATTCGAACTCAAGCTTGTTTTCACATTCGCCTTTGAACTCGCAGGAATTTAGCAATCAAAATGGTGCTCTGGATGTGAAATTGGGGGTGGATTTGAACTAGAGCTTGTTTTCACAAAGGAATACCGATCAAAAAATATTGAACCACTCCCAATTGGTACGATGCAGTTTGTTATCTCACTTTCCAACATGGATTCGAAGGGGAGGTGCCGCCTGATAGCTGTTGGACAGTCAGAGGCTTATGCTGATCATGGTAGATGATCTGACCGTTCCCAGCTGCAGCTGAAGGCTTCGCCGGAGTTAACAGCTCAGTTCCCCAGCAAAGAATCTACCGATGAAGGAGAAGTTGTCTTTTGTTTGAATAATTTTTACAACCTGGCAGAGTTAACAGCTGAATGCGCCATGTCAACTTTCCGTCCGCACGCGTGGAATTTTCCGGCGATTTAAGGTGACGGATTTGAAAGAGTGATGGACGGGTAAATGTTTGAATAAATGAGTGAGCAATGGGTAACCTTTTTTTCTTCGATGAGCAAGTAGTAACCAATGATGAAATTGAGTGACCATTGATTTAATTAACTCCCTAACTATTAGCCCAATTTTAAGAAACAAATAAACGAGGAAAATAACCCAAACATAACTTTATTAGGCCACAGAGATGCTTAACGAAGTAACCCAATTAAGGTTATAGAATTTGGGATAACATCAAAAATATCGTACTTATCTTCAAAAATCATAAAAATATCCAATTTTTGTTATGAAATTAAAGGAACAAAAGAGAAATATAAGAGAAAAAAGAGAGTCAAAACTCAAAATATGTATTTTATTGAGGAATAAGATCTTGTACTTATAGTGTTCAAAATTAGAGTTACAATCAAAGTAGATAGCACTTATCGAAGTATCACGATAAGATTAAATAATCATCAAAACTCAAAATATGTATTTTATTGAGAACTAAGATCTTGTACTTATAGTGTTCAAAATGAGAGTTACAATCAAAGTAGATAGTACTTATTGAAGTATCATGATAAGATCAAATAATCATAAACAATAAGATGAAATTTTTTTAATATTGGCATGATGTTAATAGCATTCCATAAATAGCATTGGAAAGAAATTTTTTTTCAATAATTCTGGTTTAGAAATTAGTTGAAAACGTTTAATAAACAATAATGTTAAACTATTTATCGGCATCCAGGGATGTAGATTTGACTCGATAGCTTGAGTTGTTCGTGGCTTGGCCTGAAAAAAGGTCGAACCAACTCAACTATCTGCTTGTTTCCATAGAGCCTCATTTTCGAGGCACGATCCGAGCTCGGATCCAACTAGGCCTATGGATCGGCTCGCTGCTCATTTCCACCGAGCTTCATTTTCGGGGTACGGTATGAGCCGAAGCCAGCTCGGCCCGTGTGACAGGCCAAAATGGCTCATGACATTGGCCATTTTGGCTTGTGACGACAATTGTAGCTGCTTGCAAAAGCAGGCAACCTGCTTGCATGCAAGCAGGTTAGATAGGCAACACAAAGCTTCATGTAGCCGACAAGGAGACGTAGGCAGCTACAACTACTTATTCCTACAACTTTAGCTACCTATTAATTTTTTTTTTTCAAATTTCATGACTAAGAAAAAGAGCATGCTCAGCTCGATAAGGCCTGAGCAAAAAGTCTGAGCCAATCTTTAATTTTTTGATCGAGCTTTAACTCGGCTCGACTGATTGGCTCGGGGTCAAAAAAGTTCGAGCCACTTTTTACTTGATACGCGACCTTTGGTTTGGTTCGATTACATCCCCTATTGTCATATGAACTAAGACTTATTAAAATATTGAGATTTAGGGTCACTAAAATTAACAAGGCACACCGTATTGATTGAATAATCCGAAAATTATGTTCATAATTCAAAATTTCAAAATTAATTTCACAAATTTCAGGTTGTGAATACCATGCAAGTATCTAAAGGATATATTATATCTATTAGATACAAATAGTGTCTAAATGATCAAGATGGAGGGTAATGAAACCCATATATCGCCCCCATTAATTTCTAAGATTATAGAGATTTAGTCCAACCTTTTGTTAGTGATGGTCAATGACCAATTTATGATATAGAAAACAAGCATTATATATGAATTCAATGGCTTGAAGAATCTTCTAGTTCTTCAATACATGTTCATTTAAATTATCATTCGACATCATTATTGATACATTGATGATATAATTGGATATGCAAGCAATAAAATGTTAAGAGTTAGTGGACTTTTGATTCAATGTAATGTTCTTATTTTAATTGTATTAATATTAGTATAATGTATCAATTTTAGCCCTCGTTTGCCCCCATTGTTTAGTAGTATAATTTTTGAAATAGTGAATTTTGGAGAATGGGTGGTTGAATATTTTTTTTTCTCCATTTAAATGTAATATTATTTTATTGGAGGATATATGATTGAAAAGAAAAAAGAGAAAAATGTATTATACTTTTAATGAGGTCAAATGGTGGCTAAGAAAAACTATATAAAACTTGTTAGTTGCTATTTTATTTTGCCCCTGTTTGGGGACCTTTACTTTTTGGGGAAAATGTTGTTTTAAATAATGATTTTTGGGAAAATGTATAGTTAAAAGTAGGAAAATGTTTGAATTTACTATAAAATATTTTATTGTGTGAATGTGTAGTTAAAAATGAATATGTAGAACAATGAGTTTTGAAAAAGTGAGAGACGAGCAGAGGCTTAGTGAAGAAAAAATTAGTAGCAATAGTAAGTTTGTCTCTTCATAGCACATGTATTGACTCTTTTGGAACATTGAATAAGGATTGTGCTTCTTTCAAATTAGCATGAATGTCTTTTTTAAAATTACGATTGATTCAATAAATTTTGCAATATTCTTTTTGAATATTTGAATATTTAAATTGTATTTCGTTCAATAACAGCTAATTATTTTTCTAATATATTAATTTAATGTAAAACTATGTTTCTTCTAAAGCAATAAATCAATATTTTTCTTTAATGTTGAAATTTTAATATCATGCAATTCAGGAGTAGATAATATTCTTTTAGACTAATATAACGTTCTGCCAATATAGTAAACATATCGATTAAATATGTACAACTCATATATTTTACGTTGTGATCAATTATAACGTTCAAATCGAATATAGAAGTTTAATATGCATAGTGTAATGATTATAATCTATTTGTAACAATCAATTAAGAAAACGTGGCAATTTATCAATGAAAATTGGATGTATGAGTGTACTATTATAACTATTTAATGAAATCATACAATTTAGGTAAACTGGTCCAATATGCAATTTTTATACTAAAGTATCAATTCAAAAGAATTTATGATTTTGTAGATAGGAATTGATAGGTTCCGTTGACTTTGCTTTTTGTATGCAAACGTGGACAATAGATACAAGCATACTCGTGTCCACGTAAGCTAATTCCGACACACTTTGAATACATTGATTACACCCCAAATATTTAGTTGACAAAACTATACATTTGAAGAGAAGTAAGTAATTTAGTCTAATCTTAAGGGTTAAAGCAATAAAAAATATAGGAGAATCTCGACTTGGTGAAGTGTGGACTTGTATGAGTAATGTCTATCCAAACTAAGAGATGGTAAGGAACAAAATTAAATGGATTCAACTTAGAATACACCCAGAGAAAATTGAATGAAAAGTATAAGTTTTGGGGTGTGTGTATCTCTCGAGTGAGAAAAGTGCATATTTGACTACTATGGGTCAGGGATTGAACCAATCATAATTTTAATATGTTGACATGAGTTTTCACACACACACACACACACGTGTCAGGTTACGCATATAACAGGTGGAGACTGATTTAATTTTTGCATTGTTGTAATTGTTCATTTGTCTAACTACCAAATTTCAAACCTGAGACACGACATATTGTTAAACCACGTTGTTTGTAGAGTTAAGTTATATTGTTGTTGATTGAGGACAAACAATAGTTCAAGTTTGGAGGAATTTGATAAGTACGTTTTATATACTTATTTTACTGTCAAAACATGAGCAATTGTTGATTAATATGTTGGAATATAGTTTGATTCTATGCAATTCATGTTTTTAAGGACAAGTGATGAATTTAGCTGAAATAAGGAGAAACAAGTGAAAAATTACCAGAATGGAAGAAAGTAAAAATTCAGGGACTAAAGTGTAAATACTCAAAAAATTATATCGGGACTCACGATGAAGGTTCGAGAGTGTTAAGGGTCGATCGGAAGCAATTAGAAGTCAAAAAGGAATGGATTATTATCAAAATCAATTTCCAATTCGCACAAGATATATTCCAGATTTTTAGCCGAAAATTGAGACCCATTTTTGGTATAGTAAAAGTCCGAATTGGAAAAGAAATTTCTAACAAAGTTTCAACTGTTCGAGTTATCTTTCTAACTCATTTTGAATCGTCTAAATCGGATATCGAAAGAGAAAGTTATAACCAAATTACTGAATGCTGTGCAGAGACAAAAAATCCGCGCCCGAAAAGAACTTTCCTTATTCGATTAGAACTCTTTTGGAAACCAATTTAGACTGATTTTCATCTAATTTCCGACTCTTACAAATACTTAATAGCAAAATACATATGGAGGAGGGCCCCATACACCATTCTTCTCTTCTTTGGCTCAAGAAACACATGAGAAACTAAAGATCTTGGTGAAGTTATGAAGGAACTCAATTTGAATTGGTGATTTCATGTCATTTATTCATTTAATTTGATCTTTTCATTGTCAAAAAATGCTGCAATTTAGATTTTCATTCTCTTGAATTTATATTGAAATCAATTTAATTTTTACAAGATTTTTCATGGATTCAGTCATACTTTTTCCATTGTTCAATCAAACTATTTATTGAGTTTTAATTTCAATTATTTATTGTTGAGATTGGTTTAACAATTATTATATCCTTCATAGATCCAGACATGCTTGTTCTATTGTTAGATTAAACTAGTTGTTGAATTTTAATCTAAACTTCACTTTCTTGGCGGATTGATTACTGCCTTATGTTTGATGCACATGGTCAATCTTTGATTTTGTTCCAATAAAATTGTGCGAATATGTCTTTAATCTAAATTCTATGATTATATTTGTAAATTAAATTGATTTTTACGATATATCTTCCGATTAGAGTGTCGAGATGAAAGTCTCTAATTGTGTTATAAAAATGAATAATTGATATGATTGATCCAATCCAATTGAGGGAATTCCGACGCTTCACCGCTTCGAATTATTGATTTTAATTTCACGTTTCAACATTGAATTTTATTACACATTTGAGAGAACAATTCAGCATTTTTGATCATTTAAATATTCTTCCATCTCCTTGTGGATACGACACCCCAAAGCTATGCTACAACTACCGCGTTATTCTTTGGGCGTAATCAAGATCCTTCATACACAATAATACAAATGAAACATAGTACAATTCTTTTACAATAAAACAACTGACTAATCACTACTTTTCATAAAGTAGGGTAAGACAACTAACACAAAGACAATAATTATACAAGAAGACAAATGATTTATCACGACTTTTGATAAAGCAGGATAAGATCCTGGCATACATATACAATAATTTAACATGAAGACAAACACCTTTAAAAAGCAAGGAATCTACTTTTTAAAAGCCATTTATTCCAAATGACAAAGAACTTTAGATAAGGTTTCCACGTGAGCTGAGTCATCAAGGCATTCCGACGTTTGCTTCTCGTCCAGGTACATCTGAATCAGATGGGAGCCCATGTTGCTTCCACCAAGGCCAAGTTTTAGTATCAATTTTTTCTTCAAACAGTTTTTCTTCCAATTTTTTAAAATTATATGGATCTGTTGGATCAAAATCATACTGATGTGTTTCATATTCATATGGATTTTGAAAGTCCTAAAAAACACTATCATTATAATTTATTTCAGTGTCCAAATAATTCAAATTTTGATTACTTGGCTCTGACTTATCTATTTCCATTTTATCAATTTTCATTTTTTCCTTAAATTCATTTCAAGGATTTTCACGAAGATGTTGTTGTTCTGGTGTTGTTTCTGGATACTTAGATATTTATCCAAGACATTGGTATGGCCTTCCTAACAAAAGATATTTTCAATGTGTCATGTCAATTTCCCATGAAGCAAATGGACAGTGTCCAAATATTCGTCCAAACAATTGATATTGTCCTTTTCTGTGTTTTTGAATGTCTTGCTGAATCTTGGCTGCATAATTTAGAAGCAAGATCTCCATGGAGCATCGTCTTCTATGTTGGTCAAATTTGAGGAGGAAATGTCTGATAGATTTCAGCCATCCTTCTTTGAAATTCTCAAGACTCATTTGGATACCTTTCCTAATTTTGGTGTAGATCGAAAGGTTGAACAACATACTCCATAACATAAGAAAAATGTTCATATGAACTTGTATCTACAAAATATCCTTACCTTTGGAAAATCAAGATTGCAAAAACATTTTTCTGAGAAGTTCTCAAATCTTTAAATTTTG